TGAAATGGTAATTTACAATTCCTGTCCTAGCTCAGAGTGTCCTCCCTGACATGGATTATCTGGTCACCCTAGAGTTAGCTCACGGCGGGATGTAAACAGCGGCCAAAAACACAGCAGAGAATTGATGTGTTCACCAAACGAACAATGAAATGGAGACTGTGTACAAAGCATAACTCCACTTTAATAAAATAAAACAAAGCATAAGCTTAAGCCCACATAGAATACACTAATACAACTCAAGAATAGAAATTAAATCAAAATGAAACCCCAAATCAATAAAAAAAGAACAAACAACCCGTCCACCCCCATACAGGTAACAACACACAATTCATGCAAGGGGCGAGAAGGTCCGCGACCAGGACTACCCCCCCCCCCAGAGGTAGGATTAACCAGGCCTACACCAGCCTAGCTGAATTAATGCAGTTCTTGCACACACACAAAAACCCAAGGCACTACAAACAATCCCCAAAGGCCTGAGCACTGCACACCCACAACATCACACTCCCACGAGGTCAACCCTGGCATCAGAATCCCCACTCAAAGAAAAAGAAAAACTAGAAAAAATACAAATAAAACACCATACTAAATCAAACAATATACATGGAGATGGTCTGACAGCTTAATATCCTTCGCCTATCCGTATTACATACAGGGCAAACAATGTCACTAAGCAATTTATTGGGGAAAAACAGTGGTTACATAAACCACCTTTAAAAGAAAAATAAAACCAACAACACACACATCAGTTTCGATCAATCCCTATATTCTAAGTAACCACTTAAAATACCAAAGTACCTTAGCCGCATTACCCAGCCGAACGGACCCAACGTGGTGGCATGTAGCCTAAAAGCAGAAATCACCCATTACAAGTTGCCTTCTTTCACTGCACAAAACAGCAATAAATGCTAGATCTTGTACAATAAATAAGGTTACCTGTACGAAAGCTTCACCTGTCCCAGACAACGGCACTTAATCTGTGGTGGCCTCTCTTCAGGTACCCCTTCAAAACTGGGATGCTGCTTGCCTATTAACAGCCAAGCAACCTTCTGCATATACCACTGTTTCACCGCCGCCGACAAACTAATGCAGAACACGGATGCTTTTCATGCCGCATGAACAGCAATTAAAGAAGGGAGCCGGAAATGGCGAACCCTGTAACTGCAGCCACTATGACTATGTCATACCACATGACCTGGGTGTAGCCCGATATCCCTCCACCCCAACATTGCCGGAGACCACTCCCACCTGTCACATGTATACTGCAACACCACCTCCCTTCTTGCCTGTCTGGTCTCTACAGAACAACGTGTAACCATCCATATATTCTTCTCCATCATTGACACTCATCCATGTTTCTGTTATTCCTATAATGTCATAAAAGTCTGATGAAATAAAAGCCTCTAAATCATAAATTTTGCTTATAATACTCCTAGTGTTTAAGTACAGACAGCAAAGTGCAGTGCCCACTTTTAATATTATTTTGGGCTTTCCGTCTCCTCCCACCTATATTCTTAACTAACCTCCCTGCCCCCCAATCCCTAGCTTAAACACTCCTTGACTACTCTACACATATGCCTCCCCAATACACTGGTTCCACTCCAGTTCAGTTGCAGCTTGAACAGATCCCACTTATTCTACACCACCCTTTTAGCCCCACGTTTAATCTCCTTAGCTAAATTAGCCTGGCTTGTGTGTGGCACAGGAAGTATCCCAGAGAATACCACTGTGTAAGTGCAGAATAGACCGATGCTATTTTTATGTTGTTGGAGGGAAGAGGCTAGTGGGCAATGGGAATCATTGCGTGCGTTCGACTTCATGCAGCCGCTTACAGCGCTGGCTTAAAGCAATGTGTTCTGCTCCCAACACAATGCATCATGGTTAGATTTTTTTGTCCAACTTCAGTGGGCGCTGCAAAATGTCACCACATGTCACCATGTCACATGGTACAAAAACCTCGTGAGAGCAAGACGATTTAAGACAGATCGTGCAGTACTGTGGATGCCCGAACTGCGATCCTGGCCCCATCTGCGAACGCATGCGCACACTGGTTTTCCATATACGTCACCATTTGATCTGTATACTGACTGCCTGGCTGTGGCTGTCCAATCTGCGATTCTTGTCCGATCTGTGTACGCATGCGCAATACCAGCTACCCAGCGTGACAGTGAAGCTGTAGTTACAGTAGGAAAAATGCACGGTCAGACTTTTTTCCAAAATCTTATAAACCATCTCTTAGGTAGAAAATTAGTCGGGGGTCTCTAAGCTAGGTGTCAGGGTAGGGTGACCACCTAATCCATGTCAAGGTGGGACACTATGAGCTACTTCAGCTTTTACGAACTACTTTAAAGCTGAAAGGATTCTGTGCTCTGCTAAAATGTTTGGTTAGTTCCTAGATTGAAAGCCTCATCCAGCTGTTTCGCATTAACATTACCGACGCATATGCATGATTATAGGAGACTGACCAATCAGCATACGGCGAGAACCCAGTGCTTAAGTGAAATCCTGGTCCTTTTAATTGAAATGTATGAAATGGTAGTTTACAAATCCTGTTGTAGCTCATAGTGTCCCTCCTGACATGGATTAGGTGGTCACCCTATGTCAGGGTCAGCCCCTGCTGTGGTCCTACCGTGTCCCTTCCCCGTTTGGCCAGCAGGCATCGCTGGTCATCCCGTTCTATATGTTAGTCTTTGTTCTCCCCTGTTACCTGTCTGATCATGTGGCTCAATGTCTTGAGTGTCTGGTTGTCTTTGTACCTTCTGTCCTGTGTTTGAATCCCACCTCCTGTTTTATTTTGCTCCCTAGTGTTTCAGTTGAGTTTGTCTAGTTATTTGCATTTGTCTAGTTATGTGATTTTGTATATGGTTTTTGGTTTTGTTCCTTGTGCCCCTGCTTGTGTCTTTACCTGTTTAAAGTTCCTAGTATTGGTTTCTGTTTCCCTGTTTCCTTGGTTAGTTCTTAGTTTCCCTGTGTTGCTCCTTTGAGTTTATTAGTTTCACCTGTGCCCTGTTGTCCTGGTCTGTTAATTAGTCTCACCTGTCCTGTGTTAGTCTTATTACCCAGTTTTGGTTTCTGTATTTAAGTCCCTGCTTCTGTTCTGTTCTCTAGTGGTTTGTTGATTGTGGTTGTGTGTTAGTCGGTTTGTATTGCTTGTGTTTCATGGTTGTTGTTTCAGAGATTCCCAGTATTAGTTGTGTATTTAGGTTTTGTTATTTAGTTTTGTTAATTAATCCCTTTTTAGTTTTTGACCCCTTGTGGTCCTTTTATTTTGTTAGCCCTTCCTTGTTTTTCTTAATTCAGTTAAACCCTGTTTTGTTCTTTGAGCCGCAAGTGGGTCGTCAACCCTTTTTTTTTTTTTTGTGCCTGCACTATGCCTCGTTCCCGTGCCCGAGCCGCCCGCAAACATGACAGCTAGGGACATGGGCGAACTGTGCCGTGTATCCCCAAACTATACGATCAAAGGTATGCTAATTTATATCTGCTTGTTTCACATGGTGTGAGATCGAGTTAAGTACCGGTATATGTGTTATTATTGAATCTGTATAATTTTCTTGCATAGAAGTACTGGTGTTTGTGCAACCGTGTGAAATTTGACATCGATCCATCCAAAATTTAGGTTATTTTAATTTTTAATATTTAAAGTATTTAGGCATAATTAAGTTTTCTCAATTCTAAACAGAAGATTCTCATTAAGAAGGAAATGTTTACCATCTATGAGCTTAAACTGTTTCTGTAATGAACATTTCTGTGTGAGGACATTCAAGCAAAAGTGCCTGCTAATCACAGAATGAACACAAAATTTGGGGCTACACTTATTTTTTCCTGTTATGTAGTCTAGTCTATATCAGAATTCTGGTGTTAGATATCCTATATCAAAAAAAGGCATACATACTGCGAAATAATTTTTGCATGTTCTTTAATTTATCAGTTGTCAAATTTATTAAGGTTTTGGTTACTGTAATATATTGTACTACATTTAAAATGTGAATACTTGTGTATGTTGAATACATACTTTCATTCTATGGAAGTAATGCTGTAGAATCAAGGAATTATTTCTATGTTTCAAACATTTTATCAAATTCCAAAGGAGCATTTCTTACACAGTAACAGAAAAGTAAGGTTTATGTTTAAGATCAAGCATAGACCATGACAAAAAGGTTTCATGACCAAAAACAGTGGAGATTTTACTGTAGACGAAACAAGGCACAGGGGTCACAATATTTGGTAGTACCTGTCAGATTTTGTGACCCCAAAGCAACAAGGGAAAAATCAGTGACTCTACAGTGGAAAAACACCTCAGGTGACTTGTCATCATTGTTCATGATAATATTAGAAAGATTTCTTGACTGGGTTGCACCCTCAACCTTCAGCAGAGGGGTCACAATATTTGATAGCAGCCACCAAATCTTGTGACCCCAAAGCAACAAGGGAAAAATCAGGGACACTGCAGTGAAAAACACTTCAGCTGCATCACCAGAAATAGAAATTGTAATCCTGGAAAGATTTCATAACTGGGGTGTACAGGTCAGCTCTGGCAAAGGGGTGACTAATTAACACCACTTTCATAAGGTTTTGTGACCCTGGTGTGGCTACTGAACAAGCAACAATGTTGCCTGAAGATGAATGGTACAATGTGCTGAGTGGGTCTTTAGAAAGACATGTTCATCGCGTTCATACGCTTTAGACAGCTGTTGTCTCATTATATCCAGCATTCTTACATTTACTGACACCTGAAAATCGGCTTGCCACC